TGCTACAACATAGAGTTACAGTAGCTTTCAGTCGTCATGAATGTCATACATCCCTGAAAATCTAGCAGTGAAAATTTTTAAACAGTTTAGAGTAAATTCACCATACATGTACAATCTTTCAGTATTCTCATGATAACTTCATATTTCGCATTAGTGATATCTGTAATGTTTTGCAGGGCTTAAAATTCAGAGGTCTTTACAATACATAAATTCAAGCAAGGCATGGTTTTTGTAATTTTATCTTTTTCAAGGTCTGGCAAGTGTATGTCTGGTTTAAAACCAACCTGTCAAATCACGATCAGTCAGACCACTCAACAGACAATAAGTAGACCGTAACATGATAGGTATCTTGCCGATAAACGTCTTCTGATGTTGAGTTTCCTGTGGTTCATCTCCTTCTTTCACAATAGTTTTGGTGATATCCACATATAGAGGTGCAGAGTACCTGTAACGTATATGAATTGAGTTCAAAGGTCACGTTATAAAGGTTTTATAAACAGTGAGTGAACCACTTTTCACAAGAGAAAATTTATCTAATTTGCAAGACCAGGAAAACATGATGCCCTCAAATTATCAAACAGGGAAAACTGATAGATTGTAGCAACAAAAATGTAATGATTCACACTATTTCAAGCATCAAAAATATTACTGAATAGATTATATCAAAAACGGTAACAAACATAAAAATTTAAGCCCATAATTACGTCAGATTTCTGAGTCTTGCTTCATTGGGCATCATAGGACTTGGTGCACCATCTTTTTCCCAATGTGTAGGTTTTGATAAATAAATCTGTTCAAACTTCAGTATATACCTCGTCTGATATAATGAAAAACAAAACAAATTGTTTAATTTTATGACTTATGAAAAATTGTATTATGACCATTAACCACATTCATACGGAATTAGTCAGATTCTATTCAGCAGATATTCACTGGGTTTCAATTTATTGCATGTAAAACCCAGTGAATATTTGTTGGGGTTTTAATACAGAAACTTCAAACATTGCACTGCATGACAGCTACTGTTATTATTTTACAGGCTGACAGAATTAGAATATTAGACGTGACTAACCGGTACTTCGACTTCGATTGTTGTGTGTGTAGCCTCTGCTTGTAACTCTATAGGTGGGGAGTCTTCCACTATCCGCTGTACAGACATCTGAATAAACTCATCAAACGAGTCAAGTTGTTGTCTCACTAAACCCTTCTCATCAAAGTACGAACTAATAACGATCCAACATGCCTCCTGCCAGAGATCGGGGGTGATTTCGTCAGATTCGTCCTCATCGTATATCTCTGTGAATAAGAAGTTATTAGCGAGTTAAATAACAGGACAGTGATTGAAGCAACAAGACAATAACAACAACATGCTGAAATTCTTTGTCAGCTGATCCGTCATCCATGTTTTTTTTTTTCTGTTATCAAAACAATACAACATGACGGATGCAGTGGGTTTTTTTTGCAACATCACTCACCATCTTCTTGTTCATACATTATGCAAACAACTTTAGTTTAATTGAAGTTGATAATCAAATGAATTAATCTTCGATTGCAGTTCGGATGTTGTCGATGAGCAGAGATTCTCAACAGCAACGAGATAGTACGCAACTAGTCCGCCATTGGACACAGTCAGATTTGTGTGTTTGTTGTTTCTAATTTTAATAGTAAAAACAAATAGAAATCACGGGGTTGACTATTGGGGGCGCTCTCTGGTTCACCGGTCGCCATTTTTGTTTCACAGCGACGACGGTTGAGTTTACACGTGTTTGGAGACTTTAACACTGGCTTTATTATAATTTTGTGGCAGCCAATATTGTGGGCTAATCACAATGCAGCACGATGACGTAAGTACCTCTGATAGTTTCATTACAAATTGATATTATTTTGTTTTAATTCACCCGCATATAGATATGTAATAACAACCTTTATTGATATCGTATCCCTTCTGGGATCTAGATTAGAATACAATAAGGATATAAGGAACAATAAAATACATAAGTAATATTAATAAAGAAATAAATAGTAATACTGTGAAAAATATATGTGTTGGGGATGTACAATCTTACATCACAGTTCCTCTAGATATCATGTTATGATATGATAGAGGGACTGTAGTTACATGTACAACTACAGTGTGTACTTACATATGCTATAATATAGTTACATAGATAGGTAGATAAATGTTTTATACTTGTAAATACACTAAATTATGTCACATTACCTATATTCAAACGTACAACATACCGTAACTTCAATATGACATAAAATACATGTACATGTATAATATATATATTTACAATTTGTTTCACTTCAATTGGGTTCATGAAGGCATACATGTAAATGTTTTTATAGATTACAAATGTATAAATATTTTATGAATACACATGTACATGTATCAGAACAATTTGACCAATCACAATGTAAATCAGCCAATAATTTAAGGTTTTAAATTTGGTGAAAGCTTCTTAAATTATAATATACAGAAAATGGTAGCAGTTACAATGTAGCCGTGGTGCTTGGTAGAGTGTATTTACTCAATATAACCAGATATTTTGTTTGAAATGTCTTGTTATAATGAATAATTATGAATAGCTATGATTACTTTGTTATTTTGTGACTACATCAAAATGACCGACTGGCAGACATGTTGGTGTTATTTTTGTGTGTCCTTAACAAGTTCTCAGAAATGCTTCAACTGATTTTAATATGAACTTGATGTTTTGTTTTTTCATTTGATTTAAAATGTTCAATTGGTAAATGTGTGGATAATACAATTTTTTGTGATATATGTACATGTATAATAAAGATTGTATTCCTAGGAGGTGTCACTTTGACTGAACAAAACCTGGACTAACAACATATTTTTAACATACTGAATACTCCCATCATTTAATTATAATCTATCTGCATATTTCATTGTTTATAATAACACAGTCACTAAAAACTAAAAACGAACAATTTCATGTCATTTGAAATTTATATCTTGTAATTCATTGTATAACATTTATATTAATTTCCTGAACAAACTTTTCAACACTGCTAGTAATAAAACTAGGTCTACAGTGAATGACAGAAACCTGGGAACGTTATAAATATTTAAAAAATTAATGATGTGATAATGTTGTTTTCAGGAGTAGATTTCTTGTCACTGCATATACATGTAGTTTTAATAAATGCCAGTATTGACATAATAATGTAATCTTAATTTTGATTCAAAAGATTTCTTGTAAATTTCTATACTGTGTAATCAAAATTATTTATATTTCTGTTTCTATTATTTCTATGTCTATTATTTTACTGATCATTGACAACAAAATTGTTGTTCACAGATGCATGAATCATAGTCAAAAAATTCAATAAACTAAACATGGGTGAAATTGTTCACTTAAAATTGTGTTTACTTAATTACCACTAAGATCACAGATTTGACTGATACAGTGTAAATTAACTCATTATTTTTAGGTTATATGGAGTGTCATCAATGGCATCAAGGGAAGTTTTTGTTCATACAAAGTTAGAACTAAAACACAAGATTTTTGTCGGAATGAATTTAACATAACTGGTTTATGTAACAGAGCAGCCTGTCCACTCGCCAACAGTCAATATGCCACCATTAGAGAAGAAAAAGGTATGTAAACCTATTTATCTACTGTCCTACCACCACTTAATTAATTCATATGTACACTCACTAGATAGTCGTTGTTGTTGTTCATTTTGTCAGAGAATATTTTAGGTCATATTTTTTTACTTTAGATTACTAAAATGTCAGTTGTACATTGATTGTATTGTATTGATGGTCTTAAATCCAATGACAACATTATTTGTAGTAGATATTCACTAAAGATATCACTAGTTTCTTTCACTATTGTTATAATAGAGCATAAATATCGCACTTGAATATCTCATTTATATATATCATTTATTATGTTTTGTTACAGGAGTGTGCTACCTTTATATGAAGACCATAGAAAGGGCTGCTTTCCCTGCACGGTTATGGGAAAAAGTTAAATTATCTAAAAATTATGAAAAAGCTTTAGAACAAATAGATGAACAGCTTATATATTGGCCACGATTTATGAAACATAAATGTAAACAGAGATTTACAAAAATTACGCAGTATCTGATAAGAATGAGGAAATTAGTTTTATCCAGACAGTAAGTACAAATATTTTATCTATTCCTGTCTATGATTGCATAGTACAAATGTATACAGTAATGTAGTCTTCAGTGATATTACCCAGGGTACAGTAATGCAGTCTTCAGTGATATTACCCAGGGTACAGTAATGTAGTCTTCAGTGATATTACCCAGGGAACAGTAATGCAGTCTTCAGTGATATTACCCAGGATACAGTAATGCAGTCTTCAGTGATATTACCCAGGGTACAGTAATGTAGTCTTCAGTGATATTACCCAGGGTACAGTATTGTAGTCTTCAGTGATATTACCCAGGATACAGTAATGTAGTCTTCAGTGATATTACCCAGGGTACAGTAATGCAGTCTTCAGTGATATTACCCAGGGTACAGTAATGTAGTCTTCAGTGATATTACCCAGGGAACAGTAATGCAGTCTTCAGTGATATTACCCAGGATACAGTAATGTAGTCTTCAGTGATATTACCCATGGCACAATTATTTTCACAACAAATGTTTTTTCTCTGTGATACTAATACTCTCCCAAAATTTGATTATAATCTATCTGTATCTTTCATTGTTTATAGTTAACACAATCACTAAAAACAGTGACAATATCTCTAATAATGCCTTGATTATGTTCAGTTCAGGTTTTTTGGTTATTTCATCTTCTAGCATTTTTATAATTTTAGGAGGAAACTTGTACCACTGAGTCGGAAGATAGAGAGACGAGATAAGAGGAGAGAGGAAAAAGCTTTGATTGCAGCTCAGTTAGACAATGCTATTGAGAAAGAATTATTAGAGAGATTGAAACAAGGCACAGTAAGTACTATGTTATTTACTTATAATCAGAGTCAGTGGTCAGCGCTTTTCATATGCATAACTTGCGTGACATCGCATATTGCCAAATTTTATTTATTGTATGCTCCCTGAAGGTTGTCTGGAGCTTTGGGGTTTATACATATATACACTATGGCAAGCTCACGTGTGTATTTTCACAATTATTATTCAGTGCATCCACAAAATTGCTTGAAATTTTAAAAAATCCTAGTGAATCCTGGAGCATATAAAATACACAAGGCATTCATGTGAAACAGAATGCTGAGGTATCAACAGAATTAGCAAACGAGGCATGTACAGTGATGTATTTGGCAATATTTTCTTTATGTTGTACTACATGCATGTAAGCTCGGATTGATACAAAACTCTGACGGCAATCCCTTTTGTTGATGTCGACTGAAAGGAAAATATTAGAAGCATCTGCAAGATGTCTATTTTGCTAATTAACATATTTTGCATACTATAATGTGAATACTTTTCCTCCTAGTATGGGGACATTTACAATTTCCCCGCACATGCGTTTGATCGAGCCATGGAACAAGAGGAGCTGGAAAGTGGGTCTGAAGATGAGGAAGAATTGGAAAAAGATAAAGAAGACGAAAAAGAAGAAGAAGAAGAGGATGAAGATGAAAATGAGCTTGATGAAGAATATGAGGTTAGGGTTTGTATTTTTTGTACTTTTCTTTATTATTAATGTTAAGTGGCTCACACTCCTGTTAAGGATTAATGATGACATTAATGTTATAAATATAGTGTGGAAAACAGGAAATGTGATGAATCAAGAATATACATGCTGCATAAATTACAGAACATCCTCAAATTTACTGGGGCAGGAAAGTTATGCTATTCATATTTTTAGGAAAACAAATGTACAGGAATTATCATGCTGACTTCCTAGGTTAAAATAGGTTTATAAATGAATTGTAGAATGAAATTATGCCACATATGGGCACAATGCCACTTCACTGATGAGTAGAACACTGTTATCTGTAAAAGAGTAAAACTGACATGTTATATTTTTCCCTTGGCAACAGGAAGAAGCTGAAATTGAATATGTTGCTGATGAAGATTTTGAAGAAAGTGATTTAAGTGATCTTGAGGTAAACTTGCAAATTGCATGCATATTTGATGTTGAGTATCTGGC